AGTTATTTATTGATTCGGGTAGAATTTAAAATATATAAATAGTTGTAAAATAATTAGGCAGGTATTTTAAATTTTTGGTCAGTTAATAAATAATTTCCCAGTTTTTATTTACCTGGGAAGTTTTAATTTTTTCACTATTTTTTTGGATGTAATTTAGTAAAAAAAAAGGAAGTCTTCTTTATATGAAGATGTAACATGATACATCTCAAATTCTCAAAATTCCTAGGATGTAAAATTAGAAATAGAGACGTTATTTAAATATGCTCTCCCAAAGATCAAACATTTTTAGAATTCTCCCTCTTTTCCTTTTTCGCATCTATCACATCCACGCAGATGCTATGGAACGACTTTCCATTACTTCTATTAGGGACAACTGATCAGAATTCTCACTTCCATTAATATAGAATCGCCATAACTCAAGGAGAATCATCAGATTATTACAAATTTCTATTTAATTTTTTTAAAACAATTCTTGTTAATATTTTATTCGCTGATTGGTCAAATGAAATATCATTGCATTGGCATTCTCTCAAAACAGCAACCCTACCCTGTTATTAAGAAAGAAAAAGGTTAGGATTTCTATAGCAAGCCTTTAAGTTTTATTTTTGATTTTACATGTGTATGTATAAATTGAGGATAAATTTTGTCTAGTCTAAACCTTTGCCCTTCAATTTTTAATTAATTAATGTTCATTGAACAGCAGTATTTTAGCTAATGTTACCATCAATTTAGATACACTCCTAAATTTTTATTTAGACATACCATCACTTGCAAGCAATTTAATTATTCTTCGCATATAAATTTTAAAATTTTTGGTGAAATTTTAATTATATTTTGCTTGTAAATTTTGACATTAATAATAATAATATTCATTTAAATATATGCCAATTTTAATCCTCAGACGTGTTAATTTTTTTTAAATTTTAATTTTCAAACAATAAATTTATCATATTCACTTTCTTCTATCTCTTAGCTCTGTGCACGCATTGTTTATCATAATAGATTTTTTAATAGTCACTTATAAAAAAAATTAAAACTATAATACCTGTTTTCAATTCCACCAGCATTTATTAAGGCACTTTAATATTATATATATATATACACCTGATGGAATTTATTACGTTATAGTACGAACGACGTTGTGCTCAAATAATTAACCTTACAATCTTTTGTTTTAAATTTTTAATGCATTATAAAAAAAATGTAATAAAATTAAAACTGTTTAAATCGAAATCATCCTACTATTTAAAATGATGTAACGAATAAACCTTTAATATATATTATATAAAATAAAAATGTTTTTTTAAAACTTCAGTGATGAAAGAAAGAAGGAAGGAAAGAAATAAGAAAAATTTTTATCTTTTCACATATTTTTTTTATTTTTAGCCTAATCTCTTTAAAAACAATTTTTGTAAGCAAAATATAATATATAACATTAGCTTATATTTTTTAAAACGGGTCATTTATAATTAGGGCTGGGCCGATCCGCATTTTCACTGATTCGATATTACTAAAAACTGATCCGATATTTATAGTGATTTTTATTTACCATCTTTCTTTATATCAATCTCATAAAATTATCAATATTTTCTATTTTAAAAAAACCTAACTAATTTTCACGAGTGATTAAGTGTATTTTATTTTTTTATCCATCGTATGTTAATAATCTTATTTAAAATATTTACAGTGTTTATGGGTGAATGTATTGTTGTTAAACTCCATTTAGTCGATTTTTAAAAAGGGCTGAATCAAGATTTTCGCCAAAATACAATTACCTGTGAGCCTCGAAATTTCGCTAATAAAAATCCAAACCTTTCTGCTATCTGTGGGCAAAATCAATAACATTGAATAATTTTTTGGCCAAAATCTTGATTTTAAAAATTGGCAAAATCGAGCCGTTTAACAACATTAGCTGAATATGATTCGTTAGATATTTTAAAATTCTTATCTTGTTGCAGTAATTTAACAAAACTAGTATAAAATTGTTAACTATTTTTTTAAACATTACAACCAACAAAGTGTATTTTAGTTCCTTTCATTAATTTATTATTATGAAATTTATTATCACTCATCATTATAATTATAATTATTGATGAATCAACATTATATTTTAAAATACCCCCTCCCCATTGTATGAGAAATTTTCCTTGATTAATAAATTTAAAAACAGCCTGAGAAAATAAATTCTGCCAAATCAATATCATTAGACTTACAATTAAGCTCATCACACCACATTTTGGTTCTCCATGTAAATAATTTTTAAATCAAAAAAATGTAGGGTTTCATTGTTTCATTTAAAAAAATTCTTATATGGGATGGGAGACCAAAATGATATGCCACTAGTTTGCAATGCCTGAAGATGCATTTTAATGAATGAATTGTCTGTTTAGGTAAGTATTGTATCATTGGTTTGAACTAAGGCTGTGCCGATCCACATATTTTTGACTGATCCTGATAATTTCTGATGTTGGTTCAAGATCCGAAACCGATCCAATATTTATACTGATTTTTCATCACCCCCTTTGAACCAAATATAATTAGGAAATCAATATTTTTTATGCAAAAAATCGAATTGCATTTAATTTAAATTTTTCATTTCTACAAAGACACTAATCAAAAAAAATTATTTTATAATAGATAAAAAAAAATATTTAATAATATATCCACTTTATAATTAAAAAATTCTAATATTTAATATATAATAGATTTTTTAAAATAAATATGAGAGCCTCTAGATTTTCTGGCAATAAAATAATAAAATTGGCATTCATTATTTAAAAAGATTTAAAATAAACAAAACTTTGGGTGTTCCCTTCTATTTTTATAAAAAAACTTTTAAAATACTATAAATCTATTTTAAAAAATAAATAAAATTTAGGGGGTGTTGTGCATTTGCATTGTTAACATAAAATAAAATAACAAAAAAAGTAAAAAGATCGGATCGGTTTATTTTGGGAAAACGCTTAATATCGGTGCCGATCTGATATTCAATATCGGCACAGCCCTAGTTTGAACATAAGCTGGCCATTACTATTGTTAATTTTTGAAAATCGACACCTAAAAACAAAAATTTGTTGCTATATATTTACTTTCTTTAATTTTAAAATTGTTTTTGGAATGGTTCAAATTATTTCTTATATTAATTTTAAAAAATCTTTCCACAAGGAATACTAGTTTGAATCTTTTTTTAAATTCAATTTATTTATTTATCTTTAATAATCAGGCAAATAATGATCTATTTGAAAAATAATAGAGCTGTAAACAATTTAGTTTTGAAAAATATTTATGCAACTACTTTAATTAGTATCTTTTACAATTACTGATTGAAAAGATCAAAGCTCATGCCTCCTCCGACCTTTTATTTTTAGTACGGGACGCGCATATCATTGGGTGGATCGGCATATCTTTAATCCTAACTCAATACTTTATTTATATTCTTTATAATTTTTCCTTATATCTTAATTTATCAAAATTTTTCTTTAAATAATTTTCGGTCAAATTTTGAAATTTAGTATTTTAAAGTTTCAGAGCATTTTGAAAAAATGAATCATCTATTACAAATACTCATTAATTAAGAATTTATCATGCTTTATTTTGATGGTTTTTTTTAAAGACTGTTCATTTGAATCATGCCTATGTAAATGTCTGATTGTAGTTATTTTGCAAAATTTTATCTGGTTTTTTTTGGGTGAACAGATATTTAGTAAATTGTCTTTTTTATTTACTTACTTGCTATTACACCGGATTAGTTTTTTTAAAAAAAATGCATCTTAAAAATATATATAATTTATTAATATATTAATAAAATAGAAATATTACTTCACGTTGACTGTAGTTGTTTGACTTTTAAAATAGTTAGACAAATAATCATTTAGTTTTTTTAACCTCCAATTTCAGAGATTTACCAACATAACCGATACCAATGGCTTATACTTTTAATTTACTTTTATAAATAATTGAAATTATAATTATAATATTGGCGAATTTTATCTCTGCTTTTTAGAAAATTTTTTGATATCGGCCTCGTGTTAATCAGGCTAGAAAGATGTTAGCGGTTTTATCTCTAATTTTTAAGTTGAGTCTTTTGTTCGTGGATCATCTGTTCTTTTATGCCTTGTTATTATTTTAGAAATGCTTTCCTCCATTTAAAAAGCGCGCAAAAATACAAGAGAAAAAAAAATGAATAAATTATTTCTCAAAAGATGTAAATTATTTTATATAAATTTTTTTTAAAAAACCTTATTCCATCTTGTTAACCTTGTTTGAAAGACATCTCCTTCCTTAGAACTCACATTTTTGACAGACACGTCTTAGGGGGCGCATCCGTCGCTGACGAATGTTTGCCATTCTCTACTCACTAAAATAAAAAGAATTATTTTTTTAAATTTTCATTGTAAAAAATTGTCTATAAAAATATATGAATCCGAAAAATGTGACTTTTTTAATACATGTTTGCCCAGGTAAATTATTAAATAATATCAATATTTACTTTTTTATTTTAATTGAAAATTTTTGTTTATAAAACATATTAAAAATATCAATTACCTTTACCTGCAATTTTTTTTATATAATCAACAAGAAATATTTAACTACTCTTATAAATTATAACCTTCTCCCGCTTTAAAATTTTGAATTCGAATGGCACGCCCATGATCTCGAACGTTTATACTATATAATTTATTGGTTTTTCTGTTCGATCTCATCAAAAAAGTGGTGAGTTTTTTGAATTCTGCCATTTATGATATCACCATGTTCGGTCTCTGTAGAGAATTTTAAGTAATTCAAAATTATCTAAAGATTTTTATTATATTTATTTATTTTTCCCCATTTATTTGTTATTTATAATATTTAATTTTAAATTTCTTTATTATTTTAAATATTATTAGTTATAATATAACATACATTTTGAAAATAAAAGAAAAAAACACGAATAAAATAATTTTAAAAAAGAATGTGGAAAAGAATTGATTTTTTAAATAATTAAAGAGTTTAAAATGAATATAAATTCGTCAAAAAAAAATCATTCAACATGCTATTCATTTAAGCCGAAATCCAATATTTCTTTGGCATTTTTGGTTATTCATATGAAATCTCATATTCATATTCGTTAGAGATGAATTTCGTATTTTTATCAAGTTTGTATGATATTTTTTTAAATTGCTTATTCCTCCACAATCTCGATTTAACTATATAAATAAAATAATAAATATAAAAGGTTTCCATATCAGATCTGTGATTTATTTCTGAATCACGACCCGATGATTAGCCACAAACTCCTATCATGGAAAAAATATTATTTTTATTATTAATTGTGAAATTAACAATTTCTCAAATTATTTTATATAAAAAATATATATTTTATATTTACTATTTTAAGAATCAATTATCGAAATTAGTTAATATACAATATGATGACAGAGCAGTGTGATTTAGAGCACTTGCAGATCTGACCCTGCATTGGTCAAAAATCGAATATATATTTCCTCCCCATCAGCTCATTAAAAATTAGCAATCCTCCCGCACTCCGGTTCGACAGAGTTAAGGTTAAATCAAAATGTTTATATTATACAAGATTTCACCCTAAATGAAAAGCAGGAAAACGTTATCATTTACAATGATAAAAGGGTTATTTATAAAATTTAAGCTTGTATAAAATTTACCACTGTGATAAAATAAATTTTAAGATTTGTTGCCAGAATCCCCCCCCCCCACACTTTAATTTATCTGATTTTGTCATTAAATTATAAGTCAATTATCCTAAATGTTTAACTTGTGAAATATTTATTATCATCCTTATTATTTTTAAAATTAGATATGGCTACTTGTAAAAATTAAAATTCACCTACCAAGAAACACTGCAAATTGTATAAGATTTCTGGGATCATAAATAAAATGAAAGCATTATAAAGTTTAGCTTCTCTATTTTAAAGAATGGCAAAACTTAGATTTTAGCCGAAACCCTCAGTTTTTAAAAAAAATATAGATTAAAATAGAAAACAAATAAATAATTCATGTCTCGGTGCTTGGCATTTTTTTTCCTGCACACGCCTGTAAGATTAAAATTCGTCGATTTATAGCCATTACACTCAGCTATCATAATAAAATATTATGACAGAAAAGGAAAAAGAATCAAATATTCGATAACTACAAATTTGAATTCTTTTCTGATTTTTTTTAACATTCGGTTTCCAAACTATTTTTTAAACAAATCTTTTGTGGGGATTTTTTTTTATCAATTCGTAATTATAATAAAAATTAAAAATAATGTAGATTTTATTGTTTTATTTTTTGAAATTTCCATTTTATTTTACAGCTGTTTAATAAAAATATTTTAGTGGATTGAAAATTCATGCAAAAATTTTTTTTAAATTTTGTGAAATTTAACATAATTTTGTACAGTATATATGAATATATGACCTGCTTATAACGTTTCCCAGCAAGCCAGAAATTTAAAAATTATAACTGGGAATATTAAAAGCAGATTGGAACCGGGACGGACCAGAACCTGGAACTCTGAAAATTTAAGAAATCGGAAGTAAAACCATTTTAAAATTTCCTGAAACAGGTTCTATTAATAGTGCAAATTATTTATAGGTTTATTGTTAAAATCATTTTAATTTTTTTTGGATTATTTTAATGAGAGTTTGAAAGCTGAACCAAAATTAACCTCGTAAACCTATCAAATTTTAAAAGTCGGAGTCGCTTTTTAAAAAATATTCTAACCCAGAACCCCTTTTCGCCCAGGTTCCAAACTCTAGATAAAAGAATTAAAATGAGACAAGAAACATTTTAAATTAAATCAACATTTATGGCAAATTAAATATAAATAAAATGAGAGAATAGCCAAAAGTGAAGCCCCTAGCCATCTGCGGAATATATTAAATAGATGTAATAAAATATAACTTAAGTATGTTACTATATAGCGGATCTTTGTCGTAAATAGGAAACCTTTGTTAGGATAAGTGTTGTTTAACCAATTAACTTTGGCCAGCTCTAAAACAGCTTAGCCAACTTTTTATCATAAAAAAATAGTGTCTATCATTAAGTTGAAGCTTAACTTAGTTTAAGTCAATTTAGGCAAAAATCTTGACCAAGCTATATTGGAATTTGTCAAAGTTAGGTGATAACTCTAGTTACGATTATCGATTCTAAAATGTTATTGAATGCCTTAGTTTAGTTCATAGAAGAAAAATTGCCAACCTAATATCTTAAGGCCATCACAACTATGGATATAATAATTTTTTAATTCTCGGGTAAAACACTATACTGGAGCAAAGGTATCAACTCAGGAAGATCAATCCCTAGGTGTTTTATCGACGCCACAGAGTCCAATCGTGGGATGTAATGAATACAGGCTGATTTTGAGGCACGTCATATACATCATTTATAATGCAGTGAATGATGGTGAGCTTATCAAATCTTTCAAAATATGGAATTTCTAATAATTTGCTCAGTCCGATGTCTCAAAACCATTACCGGGTTTATTTAAGAAGAATTAAGAATAACTAATGAAAACTTCAAATACAAAGATAGCTGGCCACAATTCCTTAATCTTTAAACTCTTATTAATTAAACATCGGAATTGACTGTATAATATATTGACAGTTCTTTCATATATTCTGGCGTTATAATTAATAAAATTAAATACTGTTATTTAAAATAGTTATCTCCTTCGTAGAGTTAATTTGCGCTCCGATTCCCTATAAAATTAACTTAGAAAAATACGAATTGAATTGAATATTTGCATTATTCATATTTTCCAATCAAATAACATATTATTTGTATTTCTACGAATAACAAAAATGTTATATTCGGACTTGTCGAATACTCGATTGAAAAAGTAAATTCTTTAAAAATATTAAAAAAAAAATAATAAAAAAATAGATTCTTTAAAAAGTGACTCCTAGGAAAATTTCTAATAATTTTGAAAATTAGAATTTTAAATAATTACGAATAATTAGATAAAATATTATTTGATGAATAATATATTTTCCTTCTTCATATTCGATTAAAATTTTCGACTTCGAATAATTTTTGGTTCACTATAAATATCAATATTTTTATATGTATTCTTAAATGCGTTCTTTTATATCGTGATCGTGAACCACTTCGTTTAATTTTGACATTGAAAAATTTCATCATTTATTTATATATTAAATTATAGAAAAGTCTTCAATGGGTAAAGAAGGGCAATTGTCAGGCTCACACCTTAGACTGGATAGTGGGAGTTTTTATTTATATTTCTATCTCGTTCCAACCCGATCTATAGCCCTCACTATGTGGTTAATATTTTATAAGACATGCTGATCCATTTGTCCCCCCCCTCATAGTGATTTTAATGATTATAGTAGTGATCTGCACGGGCTTAATTTTTCAAGCCTCGCCCGGCCCGAAATTTTTTCAAAAAAGTTTTACCCGGCCCTGCCCGAATCCGAAAATTTTTTTAAAAAGTTTTACCGGCCCGGCCCGAATATATTTAAATATAGAAATTAATTTTTACAATTACTCAAAATAATCGATATATGCTATATGGGGTCTAGTTTCTATAAATAAAATCAAATATTTTTATTTTACATAAAAAATTCAACAAGTCCGAAGTCCGTCTTGCAGATCTCTATTTAATAGATAAAAATGCTCTCTTTCAAAAGTATTATTTGCATTTTTTATTCTCAATTTATGGCAATAAAATTAAATATTAAATTTTTTTACGTGTAAACTTTTATTATTATTAATAGTTTCCTGAAATACGTTATAATAAAGCATTTGAAAATATAATATACGACTGAGGAACAAAAATTAGGATTTAGATAAGGAATATTTATATTTAATATAGATGACATTAATAAATTGTAAAATATAAAAATAAATATTATAATTATTTCTTTAATTCGTTAAAAATAACCTATAAAAAAAGAAATTTGTCACATACCTTAAATTTTTGAATTATTTTTTTATAATTCCTTGTTTATTATTATAATTTATTTGTTGTTATTTTTTTGCGTCAATTGATCTTGGAAATAATGAAGATTTATTATACTTAACCATCGTATTTTTTTTAATCTTGGTTTTCTGCCTTGAAAGTTGAAAGGTTAATACTTAACAATAAATGATTCGAAACATACTTATTTTAAAATATATTTAAACTTTCTTCTTTCTACTATTAAAGGACTTCCCAAAAAATTTACATAATTATTATGTTTTTAAAAAAGTATCATATTTAATATTGAGTACAAAGCTCTTTATTTTATTTAAATGATGTAATCTACTTCTGTATATGAATAAACAAGTAGACAGACACTATAGTTTGAAAAAAATAAATATGCATGATAATACATTTGCAATATCATAGCGCACGCGCTCGCCAAATTAAGTGATTGAAGATTATTGTATATAGTGTGGGGGTTTACGTTTAGAAATTGAGCACAAATATAATATGTTTAAATATTCATTCATTTGCACTTATAATAAATAATAATAATGAAAGTTAAATTGTGCGTATAATATTATTGATTTAGATTAAAGAAGTTTATAAAAGTTTTTTTTTAAATATATTCAATATACAAGTTCTTGTGTTTGTAAAATCTAGTTTTTTTTACAAGAAAAAATAAATAATCTTATTTGTAGTCGGAATTGTTAGGGGTAGTAACGGTACAACGCGTTTATAATTATAACTATTCTTTTTTTCCGCCTTTGTATTTCGCATCTCAAAATTCGTATATAATTTAAAGTATATTTCTTGATTTACGGTAACTTTAAATTTCGGGTCCCTTGAGGCACCATACTTCTTCGCCTAGCTATTTTTCCTTTATAAATAGTGAAATATTATAATTAAAACAAGATTCTCGAACATCGGAATAATTTACAAAATCTATCTATTAGTGCCTCGGAATATATATTTTCAGTCTTTAGCCCAACCTAACCCGATTTAAAAAATTTAAACTAGGCCCGATTCGAATTTTTAAATTTTTTGTGCCTGTGTCTAACTGGGTCGAATTTCGCTATACATCTAAATTCATATCAAGTCTTTCTACTTGATTTTTATTAATCAGATTCAAACAACATTAAATCTCATAAAGCAAAATTTAAAAATATTCATTTAAGCGCACTTATAATTTCTTTTTTTTTCTTATTTGAAAAAGAAAACTAAAATGGTTGACGGTTTGAATTTTAATATAAAAACATTGTCTCCAATTATGTGAAAACAAATTGGCTTGTAAATCATATTTTTCTTTATATAGTCAATGGACCAGAACCATAAAATATCATTAATCTGATCAGGGACTTGTAATTAAAATTTTCTTGCTGGCACCCATTTCATCAGCGAATACTTTGTATTGATGACCTGAAAAATCCTGGAACCTCTGGTACGTATTCGAATAACTTTATGTTCCTGTTTGATTCTTGTTTCTCTACAATATGATACTATTTATTTCATGTTCTAGAACGTTCCTAGTCTCTAATAAAACTTTATAAAAGTGCTTTGAAATATTACATAAAATAAATTATGTTTCGAGTGGTTATCCGAAATTTAGTTTGTATGATT